AAGCAGAGCCAGGCGAATCTTTGTGAGTTTGAGGCCAGCCTGGGCTAGAATGAGTTCCAGGAAAGGCCCAAAGCTACACAGAGAAACCCTGTCTCAAAAAAAAAAACATCAGTTACTGTCAAGCCTCCTGGCCATAGCAATGGGCTCAGCTGGGTAGTCCTCACATGGAGTCTCCCAAGGACTTGCAATCAAGTGATGATGGAGTCAGAATCTACTGCAGCTTGACATGGGTCTGTTAATTCTTCTCACATGGCTACCATTGGACTGAAAGACCAGCTGGATCTATCAAACCTGTCAAACCTAGGGTCATTTCCCTGAGGCTTGACTTTCTCCCAGCACAGCATTAAGAAAAACCAGCATTTCTTATATGGTGAATGGCTCCCCAAAACAGAACATCTCAGTCTGAGCATCCCAAGATAGCCAGGCCGAAACTCTGAGGCATCATCCCTCCTAGTCTAGATGGTTATTGAGTGACTTTTGAAGTCATCAAAGCAAGCCAGTTATAAGCAAAAGGAAATGATTCTCCTCTCAACTGTAGAGTTAGCAAAAAAGAAAAGAAAAAAGAAATCTGCAATCACCATCAATTGAGCATATGTACTTTCCATAGCCCAGGCTGACTTTGAGTTTGTTATGTAGCTAAGGATGACCTTAAGCTTCTGATTCTCTTGCCTCCACTACCATGCATCACCGTACTGGTGTTTGCAGTACAAGGGATCAAATCCATATCATTTTGAATACTAGACAAGCATTCTACCCAACTAAGCTACATGCCAAGCCTGGCATAAAACTGCACATGGTGGTTCTTTCCTGTAATATAGTCACTGTGGAGGTCAAGGCAGGCCAATTGGAAGTTCAAGGCCATCCTTGTCACCTGTAGATTTCGAGGCAAATAGGAGCTACGTGAGACACCATTGAGGAGCTATGTGAGACAGCAACATGATCCAGCGTTCTATTTGTGTTATCTGTTCCATGAAATAAGCTCTTCCTGGAGCCTTCAACTTTCATTTCTAGTACAAACCTGATTTTAATCGGCACAAATACTATGCTGGAACTGCCCCCCTCCTCCATTCTCAGAATAGAGCCTGAAGTTTCTATACCCAGTATTACCTAGAGGAATTTTCTCATAAAAATTATGCAGAATGGAATCTTTTTTGAATTCTTGCAGTTTGAAAATAACTTTGCTTTGCCCATGTTTAACTGATAATTTCACTGTGTATAGAATTCCAGAATTAAACATCATATGAATGCCATTGTCCCAGCATCCATTTGCATCAATTTGATGAGTTATTATTATTCTACTGGTATTCTCCATCCTCACCAAAAAGATATTCAAAAGTCTCAGTTTTGCAAAATTGTTTTGAAGTCTAGAATTTTCCTTCTTCTTCTTTTTGCCTGGTATCTGCCTGCTTTTTTCCCTTGGAAGCTTGTGTCTTTCTTTAATTCAAGGTTGTTTTCCTTCTGTTGCTTTTTATTTTTTTTCTCTCTTACTATTGTCTGTTGTATCCACCAAACAGAAAATCATTAGTTATTCATAGGTATTGATTCAGAGCAGTGAGCTAGGTTATTTTCATAAAATCCTCTATCGCATGTAGAGCTGTGCTCTGACACTTTTCTGATCCTTAGCTATGGTGTGGCCATGGCCTGTGTTGACATCAAGCCAGGACCATCATACAGGTTTACATATACAAATTCGTGGGTGACTCTGCTTATGTATCTCCTTCATGGAGTATCTGTTGACATTGCGATATCAGTGTGACATAGTTGAAGCATGCATTCTTTTCCATCAGTTCCTGTGTTTACACTTACCACTTTTATCAGATCCTGCCAGCTAGTGCTTTGGCTTTTGCTTTTATAAAAATCATCATCAGAGAGAGAGAGCTGGAATATTCTTCCCTACTTCATGCTTCTCCCTCCTCAGAAATCAACACACTTGGTTTTGTTTTTATGATAGCTCCAAACAGTTCTTAATATAATCCCCATTAAGTTATGTGCTCGTCTAATAACATACAGTGTTGTTAAACATATTTGTAAAACTGTATGTAAACAGACATATCCTACCAACCCTTGATTTTACTATTTAACATTAGTTTATTATTTAACATTAGTCTATACTTTTTGTTGGACATAGTTCACAATCACTTATTTTCATTGCTTCATAGTAGTGTATTGCAAAATAAATTTATACTCTTATTAGTGGATGCTCAAACTGTTTACAATTTTTTGCTACTAAACAACATTACTATGAAAAGCATTCTTATAGCTGTGTTTTTTGTCCAGACATGTGACCATCACTAGGATGCCTGTCTAAGTGTGAAAGTTGAAAAAGGAATAGCTCTTCTTCAGCTTTCTAAGTATCAATTCCCCTCCATTGGACAGGGCTAAGCAGCCACAGTGATTGCAAAAGCAAAACAATGCACACAGCAGGCTACATCCATCATGCTGGCTTTCCTTCTTCTGGTAGTCATTTCCTTACTGTGTCCTTCTAAGTAGGCTACCAAAGCAGACAGGCTTTCTAAAAGGGATATTATAAGGAGAGGTAGGCATGGAGACATGTTGATTGCTCTCTCCAGAAAAATATATATATATATATATATAATTTATATATCTAAGTAAATATTTAAACAATTTATTCTATAGAGCATTCTTCTATACTGACCCAAACCAAAGTGCTTTCAAATATGCATGCTTATATTTAAATATTTTAAATATATTTTATTAGTGTTTGAGAATTTCATGAATGTATATAATGTGTTTTTATCAAATTCACTCCTACTCCCTCTTCTCCAATTCCTATCTTTATTTTTAATTAATTTAACTTAAAATGTATGAATGCTTTGCCACCATATATAACTGGGTACTGCATTCATGCCTGGTGCCCACAGAGGCCAGAAAACTGCATCAGATCCCTTGGAGCTGCAGTTACAAAGGGATATGAGCTACCATGTGGGAGCTGAGAATTGAACCTGGTTCCTCTGGAAGAGCAGCCAATGCTCCTAACCACTGAGACATCTCTCCATCCCCCTAACTCCTATTTTTATGAGAAATTTTTGTGTTTTGTTACTTTTCACAACAACATAAAAAAGCATTTGCAGTGGAATTTTACTAAGACTCACAGACACACCAGAGAAGAAAAGGAACTTTTTTATTCAGGAGGCACAACATCTAATGTATCTTAGAAAGAACACAGTGCTGTTCTCTCTCTCTCTCTCTCTCTCTCTCTCTCTCTCTCTCTCTCTCTCTGTGTGTGTGTGTGTGTGTGTGTGTGTATAACGTAACAAAATAGATCTCATTTCGAATATTGTAATTTTATGTCCACTGCATTATTACTGGAAAAAATAGGTTCCAAGTTGTTCTATGAATTCCATGGCTGAATAATGATTTCCAGTTAATGTATAATATTTCCTCATGTACCTCTGCCCTCATTACTATTTTCCCAATGATGGACAAGTACATGACCTTCAATTTCCTCCTCCTACAAAACTAAAGTTAACATCTCAATATAGTCCTGTTATAACAACATAGACACACACACACACACACACACACACACACACACACACACACACACACACACACAAACACCACTTGACCAAAATGGCTTCACTTTATCTACATTCCCACAGAGCATTACTTCATATTATCCAAACAACAGTTCAATATTACCAATCATCCAGATTTATCCATCACTTTGCCTATTTGATGTATTTCTATTTCTTTATTGTTTGTAATTTATATCTTCCGTTTACAGATAACTACAAGTATCTCATTGTTTGGTTGAGTGTTTCAGTTTCCTTGTCTTTTTATTTGCTTATTTCCTTTCATCTTTGGCCTCATATTTTCTTTGTTTATTGTTTGACAGTGAATTTTAAGAATTCCCATTCCCATTACCTTCTCATATTCCCCTCCCACTTCTACTAAAACACTTCTTTCCAAGAAATCTCCTTCCAACTTTCATATCTGTGTGTCCACAAGTTTAATTAGGGTTGGTTGCATGATCATGAGTGAGACTGTACTACTTTTCAGTGGCTATACCACTAAAGAAAAATGATACACTTTGCTGGACTGACTGTTAACTGCCAACTGTCCTTTAGGGAGGCTGTGGCCTCATAAGCCCCTCCCCTATTCCTAGTGGAATGATATTGTCAATGGAGTTTTCTACTTTTGTTATTATTGATGATGATTTCAAGTTATTTCTTGTGCATTTTGACACAAGGTCTTCACTGGAACATTGCAAATATCTTCTCCCAAAATATCAGTTGTAAATTTTGTCCATTGTTTCATTTGTAACACAGAAAGGTTCATAATATACCATATAGGTAAATATTTGCATAATTATTGTTCTAAGATTTTTTTTAAAAAAATCATTTCACAATTCTTCATGAGGAATATTGGGATAAGAGGGGTGTTGCAGCAACGGACTTGAACATTTTGTTTTACAGGAGGATTGTAGATGTGTTTGGAACTTTGAGCTGGGGAAGTCATGGAGTGCTTTGCTCTTAATGGTGCATTCTAGTGGGTGCTTGAAAGACAGTAGTAATACCAAGATAAATGAGGACTGTGGAGGCCTGACTTGTGGAATTTCAGAGTGAAACAAGGACTTAAAGAAAAACATAACTAAATGTTGTTTGGGTAATATTTTGGATTTAGAATCTGTGTTTGCTAATCAGCTGGGGCTGAAAAATTATCTGCAATTAAGAGATCAGTGCCTTCAGTGAAAAATTTTGTGCTTTATTAGAACATGTTTTTGGTTTTTGGTTGATTTTTGAGATTAGTTTAATTACAAATTTCTCCTTTCCCTTCTCTTCTTCCAAACCCTCTCAGGTACCCCTTCCTGCTCTCCTTCAAATTAATGGTCTCCTTTTTTTTCATCAATTATTATTGCGTTCCATGTATGTATTTGCACACACATATATATTCCCAAATGTAACCTGTGGAGTCAATATATTACTTGTATGCATGTACAAGGGCTGACCGACCATTTGACAATGGGCAACCAATTGGTGTGCTCTTCCGTGGGGGAGGGTCACCTCTCTTGCTCTCATTTTTACTCAGTTGCCTATAGTCCTTTGTATAGGGTCATTAGCTTTTCCTTATCCAGTTTGACACGTTCCTTGGTGTTCTTGTTTGTTGCACATTTGGGGGTCATGTTGGTGAGACTTTATGAGTATAACCTCTAATTTTACTAGGAGACACAACCTCTAATTTTACTAGGAGACACACCTCAAAGCAAATTCCCTGATCCTCTGACTTTTACAGTCTTTCTGCCCCCTCCTCCACAATCATCCCTTATATTTAGAAGTGGGAGTGTTTCGTAGATGTATTCATTAGGACTGGGCTTTGCAACTCTGCATATTGATTGTTTTTGGGTTTCTGTAGTGATTTCCATCTCTTGCAAAGAGAAGTTTCCTTGGTAAGGGGTGAAGACTACACCTATCTGTGGGTATAAGCACAAATGTTTATAGACTGTTGTTAGGAATTATGCTGGTTTAGTATATTAGTGGTTATAGATTCTCCTCCAATACCCGTGAGATCACTAGCACTGAGTAGTTGGCTAGGTTTCCAGCACCACACATGGTATCCTAGTTGAGTGGGCCTTAAGTTCAGTTAGAGAGCCATTGGTTCCTGCCAAGGTATATGTGCTACTGTTGCACCCATAAAGTTATTGTGCCATGCTTGTCATTGATGTCATTTGTACTAGCTAGTTTTATGTCAACTTGACACAAGTTAGAGTCATCACAGAGGAGGGAGTCTAAATTGAGAAAATACCTCCATAAGATCAGGCTGTCCGTAATCCTGTAGGGCATTTTCATAATAGGCGATTTACGGGGGAGGGCCCAGCACGTTACAGGTGGTGTCATCCCCAAGTTGGTGTTACCAGGTTCTATAAGAAAGCAAGCTGATCAAGCCACAGGTTGCAAGCCAGTAAACAGCATTTCTGCATGGCTTCTGCATCAGCTCCTGCCTCCAGGGTCCTGCGGTGTTTGACTTTCTGTCCTGACTTCCTTGGATGATGAACTGTGATGTGGAAGAGTAAACAGAATAAACCCTTTCCTTCCCAAGTTGCTTTGGTCATGATGTTTCATCACAGCGACAGTAACCTTAAGACATAAGTTGGTACCAGGAGTAACAGACATGACTATGTTGTTTTGAGGAAGATTGTGGAAGGAGTTTGGAATTTGGGGCTACAAAAGCCACTGAGTGTTCAAAGCTTGGTAAGGTGTTCTGTAGGAGCTTGGAAGATAAGAATGTTGAGGACAATAGAAGCCAGGCATGAGAAGTTTCAACAGGAAATTTAAAGACTCTGTCAGACCATTTGTTATTTTGAATTAAAAGTCTGTGGTTCTCATTAGCTGGGCTAAAATTTCAGCTATGATTAACAAAATACCAGAACTACTAAAGTGAAACTTTTGCTTTGCTGGTGATCTGAAGCTGAGAAATTAGCAGTGAGTAAGAAGGGACCAGCAAGACCTCTCCACCACCTCCACCACCCATTGGACCCTGTAACCTACAAGTCCCACTCTGCCCCCTCCCCAAACACACAGAACCCATCATCCACAACTAACCATGCCCCATGGCATCAGCAACCCACAGAGGTACAGACACCACCTGCACTGGATTAGGGGAAGAGCAGCCCCAGAAGGCACAGGCACCCCCTGCACTAATTGGAAGAAGAATCAACACCTGTACCTATAATTACCACAAACCCAGACGGCAGTCTAAGAATACATTCAACAACATAAACAGCAATATGACACCACCAAAACCTAGTGGTTCTACAATATCAAGACCTGAACAGCCCAATGCAGATGAAGCAGAGGAAAACAACCTTAAAAATAACTTTATGAAGATGATAGAGGCCCTTAAAGAGAAAATGAAAAATTCCCTTAAAGAAATCAAGGAAAAGATAAACCAAAAATTGGAAGAAATCAATAAATCCCTTAAAGAAGGTCAAGAAAAAAATAATCAAATAGGCGAATGAAACAGTTTAAGACTTGAAAATTGAAATAGAGGCAATAAAGAAAACACAAACGAGGGGAATTCTAGAAATAGAAAATCTGGGTAAATGAATAGAAACTGCAAGCATAACCAACAAATGCAAAAGATGGAAGAGATAATCTCAGGTATTGAAGATATGATAGAGGAAATAGATTCATCAGTCAAAGAAAATGTTAAATCCAACTAAGTCTTAACACAAAACATCCAGGAAACCTAGGACACTATGAAAAGACCAAACCAAAAAGTAATAGGGATAGAAGAGGGAAACAAATACCAGCTCAAAGGCACAGAAAATATATTCAACAAAATCATAGAAGAAAACTTTCCCAACCTAAAGAGGGGAATGCCTATGAAGATACACGAAGTAGACTAGACAAAAAAAAAAGTCCCCTCACTACATAATAATCAAACCACTAAACATACAGAATAAAGAAAGAATATTAAAAGCTGCAAATGAAAAATTTCAAGTAACATATAAAGGCAGACCCATCAGAATTACACCCAAATTTTCAATGGAGACACTGAAAGTGAGAAGGTCCTGGGCAGACATTATGCAGACACTAAGCAACCACGGATGCCAGCCCAGACTACTATACCCAGCAAAATTCTCAATCAACATAGACAAAGAAAACAAGATATTCAATGACAAAACCAGATTTAAACAATACCTATCCACAAATCCAGCCCTACAGAAAGTGCTAGAAGGAAAACTCCAACCTAGGGAACTTAGATGCACCCATGAAAGCCTCAATAGATAACCTCACACCAGCAAATTCCAAAGAAAGGAAACACACACATACATTACCAACAACAACAACAACAAAAACAAAAAATAACAGGAATTAACAATCACTGGTCATTAATATCTCTTAATATCAATGGACACAATTCACCTATAAAACGACACAGGTTAACAGAATGGATATGAAAACAGGATCTGTCCTTCTGCTGCATACAAGAAACACACCTCAACTTCAACGACAGACATTACCTCACATTAAAGAGTTGGGAAAAGATTTTCCAATCAAGTGGACCTAAGAAAAAGCTGGTGTAGCTATCCTAATATCTTACAAGATAGATTTCAAACTAAAATTATTCAAAAGGGATAGAGAAGAATATTTCATATTAATCACAAGAAAAATCCATCAAGATGAAGTCTCAATTCTGAACATTTATGCTCCAAATACAAGGGCACCCACATCTGTAAAAGAAACATTACTAAAGATTAAATCACACATCAAACACCACACACTAATTGTGGGAGACTTCACCACTCCACTCTCACCAATGGACAGGTGTGCCAGACAGAAACTTAATACAGAAATAGGGGAACTAACAGATGTTATGACTCAAATGGGCTTAACAGACATCTATAGAACATTCCACCCAAACACAAAAGAATATACCTTTTTCTTAGCACCTCATAGGACCTTCTTTAAAACTGACCACATACTCTGTCACAAAGCAAATCTCAATAGATACAAAAAATTGGAATAACCCCCTGTATCTTATCTGCTCACCATGGCTTAAAGTTAAAACACAACAACACAAATTGCAGAATGCGTACAAACTCATGGAAACTGAGTAATGCTCAACTAAATCACCACTGTGTCAAGGAAGAAATAAAGAAATTAAAGACTTCCTAGATTTCAATGAAAATGAATGCACATACCCAAACTTATGGGACACCATGAAAGCAGTGCTAAGAGGAAAGTTCATAGCACTAACTGCCTACATAAGGAAGTTGGAGAAATCTCACACTAGCAACTTAACAGCACACCTGAAAGCTCTAGAACAAAAAGAAGCAAACTCACCCAGGAGGAATAGATGCCAGGAGATAATCAAATTGAGGGCTGAAATCAATAAAATAGAAACAAAGAGAACAGTACAAAGAATCAATAAAACAAGGAATTGGTTCTTTAAAATAACCCAACAAGATAGACAAACCCTTATCCAAACTAACCAAAAGGCAGAGAGAGAATATCCAAATTAATAGAATCATAAATGAAAAGGGAGATATAATAACAGACAATGAGGAAATCCAGAGAACTGTTAGGTCATACTTCAAAAACCTGTACTCCACAAAATTGGAAAAATCAAAAAGAAATGGACAATTTTCTGGACAGATATCACATTACAAAATTAAATCAAGACCAGATAAACAATTTAAATAGACCTATAACCCCTAAGGAAATAGAAGCAGTCATTAAGTGTTTCCCAACCCAAAAAAAAAAAAAAAAAAAAAGCCAGAGCCAGATAGTTTCAGTGCAGAATTCTACCAGAATTTCAAAGAAGAGCTAATACCAGTACTCCTCAAATTGTTTCACACAATAGAAACAGAAGGAACATTGCCAAGCTCTTTTTATGAGGCTACAGTTACCCTGATACCCAGACCACACAAAGATGCAAAAAAGAAAGAGAATTACAAACCAATCTTTCTCGTGAACATTGATGCAAAAAATAATAAAATACTGGCAAACCAAATCCAAGAATATATCAAAAAAAAAAAAAAAACATCCACCATGATCAAGTAGGCTTCATCCCAGAGATTTAGGGATCGTTCAACATACAAAAATCTGCTAATATAATCCACCATATAAACAAACTGAATGGAAAAAAAATATGATCATGTCATCAGATGCTGAAAAAGCCTTTGACAAAATCCAACACCCCTTCATGATAAAGGCCTTGGAGAGATCAGGAAAATAAGGAAGATACCTAAATATAATAAAGACAATATGCAGCAAACCGGCAGTCAACATCAAACTAAATGGAGAGAAACTGAAAGTGATTCCACTAAAATTAGGAACAAGACAAGGCTGCTCACTCTCTCCATATCTATTGACTACAGTACTCCAAGTTCTAGCTAGAGCAATAAGACAACAAAAGGAGATCAAGGGGATACAAATTGGAAAGGAAGAAGTCAAACTTTCACTATTTGCAGGTGACAGGATAGTATACATAAGTGACCCAAAAAATTCTACCAGTGAACTCCTAAACACCTTCAGTAATGTGGCGGGATATAAGATTAACCAAAAAAGAAACAAAAAAAATCAGTGGCCCTCTTCTATACACATGGTAAACATGATGAGAAGAAATCAGAGAAACTTCACCCTTTATAATAGCTACAAATAATATAAAATACCTTGGGGTAACTAACCAAACAACTGAAAGACATGTATGACAAGAACTTTAAGTGTTTGAAGAAAGAAATTGAAGAAGATATCCGAAAATCGAAAGATCTCCCATGCTCTTGGAGAGGTAGGATCAACATAGTACAAAAGGCAATCTTATCAAAAGCAATCTACAGATTCAATGCAATCCCATCAAAATCCCAACACAATTCTTCATGGACCTTGAAACAAAAAAATATTTAAATTCATATGGAAAAACAAAAGTGTAGCATGAATGTTAAACGTTCTTATTAATAAAATCAAACCTGAGCCAGGTATTGGGGTGAACACTGGAAGGTCAGAGAGACAGAACAAACCACAGCTAACCTCACCTGGCCAACTTCTCGGCTGGTCTTGTTTCCTCAGACTGGAAGCCTCTGTGTCCTCATATCTGAATGGCTCTCAGCTGAACTGTGCTCTAAAGCCTGAAAGCTTAACTAGCCAAATGCTTAACCAACCAAATGCTTCTAGTTTCTGGTCCTCACGCCTTATATACCTTTCTGCTTTCTACCAGCACTCCCTGGGATTAAAGGCTTGCTTTCTGGGATTAAAGGCATGATGAGTCACCATGCCTGCCTATATCCTTGAACACATGGATTTCTGCCTCTGGAATGCTAGGATTAAAGGCATGTGCTACCACTGCCTATCCTTTATGTTTAATATTGTGGCTGTTCTGTCTCTGACCCCAGATAAGTTTATTAGCATGCACAATATTTGGGGGAATACAATACCACACAAAAGACTCGGGATAGCCAGAAAAAATGCCATACAATGGGCGGTGGTGGCACTCGCCTTTAATCCCAGCACTCGGGAGGCAGAACCAGGTGGATCTCTGTGAGTTCGAGGCCAGCCTGGTGTACAGAGCAAGATCTAGGACAGGCACCAAAACTACACAGAGAAACCCTGTCTCAAAAAAAAGAATCCTGTACAATAAAGGAACTTCCAGAGGCATCAACATCCCTGACTTCATGCTCTGCAATAGAGCTAATGTAATAATAATAATAATAATAATAATAATAATAATAATAAAACAACAACTTGGTATTGGCATAAAAACAGACACATGGATCAATGGAATTGAATTGAAGACCCTCACATTAATCCACACACCTATCTATGAACATCTAATTTTTGACAAAGAAGCCAAAATTGTACAATGTAAAAAATAAAGTATCTTCAACAAATGATGCAGGCATAACTGGATGTCAACACATAGAAGAATGCAAATAGATCCATATCTACCACCATGCACAAAACTTAAGTCCAACTGGATCAAAAACCTCAACATAAATCCAGCTACACTAAACCTGATAGAAGACAAAGTGGGAAGTAGCCTTGAATGCATTGGCACAGAAGACCATTCCTAAATATACCACCAGTAGCACAGACACTGAGAGCAACAATTAATAAATGGGACCTCCTGAAACTGAGAAGCTTCTGTAAGGCAAAGGACAAGGTCAATAAGGCAAAATGACAGCCTAGAGAATGGGAAAAGATCTTCACCAACCCTACATCTGACAGAGGGCTGATCTCCAAAATATATAAAGAACTCAAGAAACTAGACATCAAAATACCAAAAAATCCAATTAAAAAATGGGGTACAAGTCTAAACAGAGAATTCTCAACAGAAGAATCTCAAATGGCCAGAAGACACTTAAAGAATTGCTCAGCATCCTTAGTCATCAGGGAAATGCAAATCAAAACAACTCTGAGATACCATCTTACACCTGTCAGAATGGGTAAGATAAAAAACATTGATGACAGCTTATGTTGAAGAGGAACACTCCTCCACTGCTAGTGGGAACACAAACTTGTATAACCACTTTGGAAATCAGCATGGTGGTTTCTCAGAAAATTGGGAATCAACCTACCTCAAGACCCAGCAATACCACTTTTGGACATATACCCACAGGATGCTCAATCATACCATAAGGACACTTGCTCAGCTATGTTCATAGCATCATTATTCAAAATAGCCAGAACCTGGAAACAACCTAGATGCCCCGCAACCGAAGAACGTATAAAGAAAACACTCAGCGGTTAAAAAATAACATCATGAAATTTGCAGGCAAATGGATGGAACTAGAAAAAAATCATCCTGAGTGAGGTAACCCAGACCCAGAAAGACAAACACGGTATGTACTCACTCATAAGTGGATACTAGA